GTGCTCTCAAGTCCTTTTTGACTGCCTTTGGCCTTCTTAGTGCAACCTCATCGTTGCCAACCTGCATGACCAACAGTGGGTAGTAATCAGTGGGCCGAACCAGACCAGGGAGTTTCCTGGTGACGTCTCTCACCCAGGCCCCAGGGAGGCAGCAAACTTCCCTGTGAGTTGGGTCTGGTCGACATATTGGGCCCTCTGTACCCCTCAGAAGGGAGTCCCCTATGACAATTACCCTCCTTTTTTTAACAGAGAATGTCTTGATACGTGGGGCTGGCTGACTCACCCTAGGTACCCCCTTGGACAGACCTTCGTCAGGGTCCTCATGTTCCTGTCCCTCACGTTCCAGAGCCCCATACCTGTTGTGTAAGGGCAGCTGGGACGGTGAGGGAGGCTGGGAGGGGATTTGCCAGCATCTCCGAGCAGGGCCCTGCTTCCATTTCCCCTCATCTCTTAGGTCCCCTCCTTCTGCCCAGCAGCAAGAGGACAGGGGATCCCCTGCTGCTTGTGGAGCTTCCACCAGCTGCCCCTGCTTCAGGGCCGGCAGGGTGCAGCTCCACCAATCTATCTTCCTCTCACACTCCCTGATGCTCCTCAGCCTCTCCACTTCCTCCTTCAGCTCTGCCCCAGGCTGAGCAGGTCGCTCACCTGGTCGCACCGCACACAGGTGGTGTCTCCTCCAGCTGAAACCAAGAACTTTTGGGGAGGGAGAGGAAGACAGAAGGGATAGTATCCCTAAGCCTTGGCTTGTCTGGAGATTCGCAAAGGAACATGGCAATTTGCTTCAGGTCCCACAGCTTAGACATAGTCTAAGAATCCGGACCCAGATAGTCACAGATGATGTTGAATTGTGATCCCAAGTATTATCAGTATCCCATGCCACCAGAACTGCAGGTGGCAAGTGACCGCTGTGGTGGTCAGAGCCACAGACTTAGTTCAGAACAAAGTGTTTGTTACATGCATTTCAGCACGTATTTTTTATATGTTCCCCATGAAGGACTACATAATCAGGTTTCTTTAAAGTTGGTTTCATTCCAGTTCAACTCTGTTAAGCTAATGTAGCTTGTCCCACATATTGTGAAAAAGGAAAGCAATGTCAGTACATGATGAGTTCTAGACTAGGACTAAGAGGACCTATGTTTTCTTCAAGGATATTTACTGCTTTGCTGGCTGACATTGGAAAAGTAATTTAATTCCCGAATACCTCAATTTACTCATCTGAAAGTGACACTGACCTCTGGGTAAACGACACATTGGCTGCTAGGAACCAGGCAGCAGAGGAGCTTGGAGAGTTACAAGGGAAAACATAATAAAGTTCTAATATTCTCTAGGGATAGCATACTAAAAAGCTCTGCCTCAACAGTATGTAGGAGGTGCCTCATGAGCTCAATGATCCAACATAGAGTTAAATGAAGACACAAAGCAGAGAATATTTGACAGGTTATTTGTTCTTTCTTCCACCTCTCATTCTCTGGGGAGGGATGTGTATGCTGCAGGGTGTCTTGTTCCAGCAGGATTTTGTTTTAAATACACTGCCCTTGCAAGAGAGGGCAATGAAGCACTTCTGAAAACAAAGGTGGTGAAACTTGCAGTGGTTCATTCCACAGTCTTAGATCAGCCTCCAGGAAAATTCAGTGACCTGAATGTAACCAGTTCTACAAAGATGTGTAGAGTTACTAATCTCATTTCTGGGGCCCTCAAAAAGGGAGAATAAACAGACTGGGAGAGAAAAATGCCCCTCCTTATGCAATTTAATCAGGAATAACTTAGTTATAGCCTTCTATGAAGACTAAACACACAGGAAGTGGAACGCTAAGAACACAAGCATTTTTCACTCTTATGACTAGTGCAGTATCTCCTATATCTCCCCTTATAAATATGCTAGTCCTCTTGCAAGAAAGTAGATTTTTGCACACTACAAAGAAAGAGAATTCTCCTTACTTCTCTAAGTAAGGTACGTAGAGGAGGAGATTTAACAAAGCAGAAACTGTAACAAGACAGTGATTGATTCTCCTGAATATCCATCAACAGATACCAAGCTTCAAGGGCACTTACTAAATGCTAACCATGTTTGCCTCAGTTGCAGGTACACTCTGAAGTCTGTCTGGAATCCAATATCGTAAACAGTGAGGTCAGATCCAGGTATTCCTTTAAGGTGATCATATTCCCAGTAACAATGCCAGATGCCTTTTAAAAAACAATCAATATAAAATGAGTGTTTCTGAAGAGTGCAAACACAAGTTTTTTAAAAAAATCTTTTACAAGCCAAGTGTTTTGTCCTCAGCATGTCAGGTAAGCAAAAACCAAAATTCATTACTGTAAGACTAGTCACTTATAACATCACATATACAGAAGAGAAATATTAGTACAAGTGAATACAGACTAAGCATACTGTGGGTAGATAATTCAGGTTACTACATCTGGTGCTAAGTATCAGCATAGCTGGATTCTTACTAAATTTTGCTGCCATTTAAGCCCTTCTCACTGAACTAAGTGTCTAAAACTAGGCATTAATTCTCCCAATCGTTCCATTTAATTGATGTAATTAATGGTTTTCCTTGCCCAAACTTAAGCAATAAGAAAAAATAGCCTCAGAGGCTAGATGATTACACCTACCATAACCTATAATTCCAATCACACCAAAGATGAAAATCCAGAAGAGAACCCCAGCCGTGAACCTCAATAACACAAGGAAGAGCAGACTCACAACCATTGCAATGAACAGCCCACTAGAAAGACAAGAAACAGAAACACAGGGAAAACAAGTGTGAGATTCTTTCTTGCATGACTGTTACTCCAAATGAAGATCACTCTAGCTCACATAAGAGAATGATTTGTAAAAATGTATTTCAAAATCTTCCTTATGAAATACATCCTCATGGCTATTATCTGCTATTAGAAAGAAATAGCTTATATATGATGATCTCACATGGCAGAGCCAGAAATGTTTGCATACACTAGGTTCTCGGGTTGGCTGGATGGGACTAGTACAATGCCTTTTGGATCATTTACCAATGAACAACTCATTGCCTCTTTCAGGCCATGCTCTAGTCTACAGAGGAATACCTATGTGTGGGAAGGCTGCTGTTTTATGTCCTCCATTAAAAATCCCTACTTGCAAAGAAACAATGTTAGTAAAGTAACATTCTAGGAGCTTTCCTAGAAAAAAAGAATTAAATTTAGGAGGAAAACCAGTGACTCTTTCTATGCATCAGAAGAGGAAATGATCGATGCATAAAAAGAAACTGATAAGGGATATCAATGGGGCCCCCAAGAAAGACACCTACAGAGTGTTTTTTTTCTTTTTCAAATCTGTAGTAAGGAAATATTTATTGTCATTTCACTGCCAGAAAGCGAGTCAGAAAGGAAAAAATTACTGCAAAAGGCCTCTTTACTCAGGGACGCCTTCTAAAGCAATGTGAATAAAGCAGTGTGAATAGTAATCCCATCCAACAAACATCCAGCTCAGCTGCTCGACAGAACATTTTATTTCTCATAATTTTTAGTAGGTGTTACATCAGAATTTTGTATTAGTAGAGACTCAAAAAAATTTAAAACCTCGTCTTGCCTGTGTTCCCTAACTTCTCTTCTGAACATTCCCAGCTTATTTAGCCAGTTACCAAATATAAAAAAATGGGTTAGCCTGATCATAAACAATCAAAACCAGATGTTTTTGGAGACAGATGGGTAGAGGGACAAGAAAAAGAATATCAGCTTATTTAGTTAAACCTTTGTAAGCTGGTCTTAAGTCCTAGCCCTTTAAAGGCTTCCTAGCATGAACTATTCCCTTTCTGAATGTCTTATTTGAAAATGGGAATGTATTCCTCAAAAAAAGTTGTAGTTTTGGAGCTTATGACTCTATTCTTGAAAGCTGTAAGTTATCTTTATCTAAAGTTATCTTTAGATATACACAAGTCATAGTAACACCAAAACTGAGTACATGGTAACAACTGTCCTCAATAGACTGGTTCCCTTAAACTGAAGCTTGAAAGCAGCAGCTCTTTTTGGGTAAGCTAAAAACACTAGAGCAATTGTGTATTTAATTTTTAATCCAGCCTCCTTTCACTATCAGGCCTTTGTTGTCATCACCCAAACTCTGGCATTGTTTGTCCAGAAATCATTTGACATATGCTACCATTTGGTGAAAAGTGTGAAGAAAATTCTATCCAACTACTTTAAAAGTAGCAACAATTCCTTCTAAAAATATCATATTTGAAATGTGGAAACTGACTTCAGTACTTAGAATTTCTGTTCAAAAAATGGTCAATTCTCTCCCACCTATCTGTTCAGTGACAACTCCTTCGAAAGACTCTGCACCATAAGCCTGATTTCAATACGAGATCTAAGAGAGAACAGAGCTTCCTGAATACCAGTGAGTTTCTTGCCACCGACTATTGCGACCACAGTATCAGACTATGAGAAGGCTGTCCTCCCACCGGTGACCGAATACCTTTAAAAGCTGACAACTTATGTTTCTGAACTGACTAATTCTCCATATTAAGTTTATTATCTAAAGTTTACGTATTTGTTGTTGTGGGTTTGCATTCAGGCTTGAATAATGTACGCTTAATATGTGCATGTTATAGGCTCTTACCTGGCAAAGACTTCTGCTCCTGTTTAAACTGATCAACACCTTGGTCCATCAAAAACAGTATTTATGGGCTAAGCATGCACATATGCTTACATATTTGCTTCAGCAAAATAGCTACTTCTTTTGTTTCAGTGCTGCATTTCTACTAATTGGTGATTAGTGAGTATTAATTGCAAGACAAAGTTAATACCGTTGAATAGTTTTGCTCTTGATGTTGCTTTGCCAGCTGCATTGGATTTATGGATTTATATTGGATTTATGGATTATAATGGATTTAACTATATATTGCTAGCATGACTTTAGAAATCATGTGTTTTATATACATATTAATGACACTTAGCAACTGCAATTGGTTTGGAAGGCTCTTAATTAAGATTTTTCAGTTTTGGAATTACCACACAGATGGGTCCTGCAACAGAAGACAGCAACTCCTGTTCTTCTCCCTGGCAGGATATTAAAAAGCTACTCTTGGATCAACTGACTCTCTGTGTATGTGTGCTGTGCTATCCTCACCTCATGTACAGAACCATAACACCGTTATTATCATGTGATGAAGGAAATCACAGTTGCTCTTGGAGTTTAAAAGTAAGATTGGTAACAATTACATAGATGATCTATTTTTTAATTCCTTGCATGCTCCAAAGTGAGTTCAGAAAAATTAAAATACCCATGAAAATCTTACATTAAAATCCAATACCAAGAAATGGCATAGTCTTCAAAAATTTTCATTCCAACTGATCTTGCATCCAGGACATTATTGATGCCGCTGAGAAAAGACAAACCAAAGAAAAGGTTGCTTTAAGTAGAAAAGCAGAATTTATTTAAACAACAAATAGGCTCAGTGAAAGAATTTGAAATATCTTTGCTAGAGATAAGAGTATGTTACTATCCTCTAGCTCCAGTTCTGTAACCAAGTCAACATCAATCATCATTACGCCAATAAAAAAATTGTGTTAAAATGTCCATAGAGCTCCTGAAAAAGCTTTATTAAAAAAGCTTTATGAGTACTCACTCTTGCCAGAGTTAATTGCTTATTATGTCACACATGTATGCTATTTAAGGTCTGCAATGCACCAAGAGAGGTAAGAAAAGATACCCCTGTGCTCCAGACAGGCTGAAGACTGACAGCAGCTGGAAAAGTGAGGCTATTGCAGCAGTTTTCTCTCATCCTGGTTGATGCCCAGGATTGGAGACACTTGCTGTCCATCTGCAAGGGAGGTGTTGTCATACATCAGAGCTCAGTACATTGCTTTTTGATCTTTAGACATGTGCTAACAACAGGAGCACTCTGATGAGGTGAGATGCCCAAAGTTCTAGGACAGTCCATGTTAGTGGAAAGGCCATCATAGGAAGGAATAGCTGAGGCCATTACTGGCTGGCCTGAGCCCTGCAGCACAAGAATTTAATTTTGAACCTCCTTTAGCTTTCTTTAATACTAATTTTTGCTAGGAAAAGCAACATGAATGATTTAAAAACTGACAGTCACTCTGAGACAATCAGACTAGAACTTTTGGCTTCTTGCTCATTTCTGCATACCACAGTGCTGGTTTTCCTTACTGGAACTTTGCAAGTGCCCAGGCACAGAGAGACCATTTACTAGCAAGTCTTGCCTGGGTACCCTCAGCCATTTGCTACAACAGATTCTGATTATTTTTTAAATTCCTAAATTGTTCCACAACCTCCGAATCCAACAAACGAGTACTTAAGAAGGGTAAAACCTACTTTGCAGCTTCCCTGAGATCAGTTACATTTCTTGTTTTCCCTCTTCCATCTTTGAACGTAGTCTGATTTGCCACGGTTAGCACACCATTCTTTGTGGAGAAGTCTGGGAAGCATCTCTTAAGAACTATTCAAAATATCAAAACAAAACTGCATATTACATTTCATGTCAAGCTCCACTTCTATCACTTGTCTTTTGTAACATATTTAAATAATTTCAGATTCACAGTTAATTGTTTTTCAACTGATTATCTAACGATATGTTGACTTCGAAAAATCTTGGAAGAGTGATTATATTCAAGATTATGATTTTTATCCTCTGGGGCTTTTTGTCCAAGCTCAGGCATGGTGGGATCATAGCCTTCATAGATTCTAGGTGCTACCAAATAACAACAGTAGTATCTGTAGCAGTTTAAGAATTTGTAATAAATGCAGAACTTACTCTCTGTCAGAATCTGGGCAGCTTACAAAAACTGCAGTTTCTCAAATATGTCATTTCATGGTAATAATCAAACCAGCCCCCAGGGGACAGACTCAACATAAGTGGTCACGAATGGCACTAGCACCCAAAACAATACATAACAGCAAGTGTCAGTTCCTCATATGCCAGATCAGCTGCAGTACCAGCCACTATCACTAGATATTCCTGGAGAGGAAGCAATGGAAAAAAGACAGAAACTGTTTGTTAGACAGAGAGAGGAGGAGATTATAGGAGAGAGAAAAGGAGAGATGTTTATATACTCATTTATGTTGCCCTGCTCTTTGCTGCAAAATGTCCTGGGTTTCATTCCAAAGGGATGAGCGGGTCAGTCTTGCTACACAGCTGCACTTTAGCTTTATAGAACAATTCTGGACTTTCCTTATCAGGTTCCAACAAATACTGATGCCAGGGTTCAATATTCAGTCTAGAATATCTATCCCACCAATTATTCTGATGAAATAATTAAGTAATTTTCCTCCCTCTGTAATGTTTGCCCCTTGTTGTACTCTAAAAGAAGATAATAGCTTCTTTGCAAGTTATTTTCTGTCTTTTGGGCCAGTAAATCACTTTTCATACAAACTCAATATTTTTTTAAAAAAGTAATCCTTATCTTCTCTTTTTGATAACCTGTCCCTGGTTTACATGATGTCTATTTTCAAGCATGGAAAAATAAACAGCATTTTTTTTTACTTGCATGAGCTTCTGGGTCAGTGACAGATACTTTTGGTATTACACTCCTGCAGCTGAGATGAGCTCTGAGACCTGTGGTTATCTACTCAGAAATACCTGCTGACCATAGTGACAATAACATTGTTTGGCCCCTTAATTCCTCTGTGCTCAGCCAGCACTGCAACTGAAAAGCGAGCTGCTTGTAACTGGGCTCAAGTATCATCTGAATTCCAACAGCTGACCAAATGATCCTTCCTACATTCATGGCATTTTTTAATCCCAATGGGGTTGCTTGCTCACATGTTTTGGAAGGCACAATTTGAGCTGTAAAGCTTTGGTGATGATTCAAGAGCAAGAAGGAGCTCAGCTTGACCTCATCACACGTTGAATGTTCACAGATGACAGGGAGAAAAAAAAATAATAAATCTTTATACTTTCAAACTGTTTAAAATTGAATGGACATCACTGTCAGGTAACAACAGACAGCTCCTAGTGACCTTGCCACAAAACATTTTTCAGACTGGAGTCGTGCTTTACTGTGAATGCTTATAATCTGCTAAGACGTGTGTAAGAAGTAGAACCACTCACAAGGCCTGCTTGGAATGATCATCGAAGGACAATCTTCATCACGTAGGACTTGAGCAACAGACTAAAAAGGGGAAAAATAGGAATGCTGAATACATAGCAGAATAACTATGTGTTTTTCGTTTCTCACCCGGTCTGAGAAAATGCCCCAAACGGGGCTTTGTAGCCTCCTCCCCGAACTTGACTGGTGGAGCTGCAAGATACATTCATGATGTAAGTGAGAATCCAAACTATCATTGTGATTTGGGAAGAGGCTATTCTTCCCTTTTCTAGTGACAAAAAATAAAAGACCTGTTCATTTTGGATCAGCATCTAAGCCAGAAGTGACCAGGAAATTGTTCCTAGCCTCCCCTTCGCCTTTTCTCTTAAAGAAGTGTAAGAATTTAACACAATTAATATAGGTGAATTAAAAGGTGTTTTAAAGATGGGAGAAATAACACAGTACATTTGAGTAGATTAATTTTCCTAGCTAAATTACTAACTAGCTATTGATGACTCAGGAGCCTTAAGAACTGGTTTGAGATACTCTCTTCTGCTGCTGTGGAGTACCTAAGTACTAAAGGATACTCCTTGCCACAGTACTACAACTACATGGGTAGCTGCAGATATTCTTTTAAGCAAACAGTAATCAATTAAAGAGTGGGGGATTTGGTGTGCATACAAGACCTTCACCCCTGATTAAATCACTGTCAAACCATATAGATGGGACAAATCCTTATATGGTGAAATCAGAATAATTCAAAGCTTTGATGTAGCTCAGTCATATCATGCATATTACATATTGCTTGAAGAAAAAATGTATTCCATCATCTACTGATACATACACACCTTGCGAGGATTGTTAAAGCCAGGTTTGCAGAACTGCCTGAAGTAATTCCACTGATCTGGTTTATATCTGTAGGAAGCCTGAACGTCAATGTAGGTTGCAAACCTGTCTGGGCACTTTGAGACACAAAGCTGCAAGAAGAGAAAAAAAATGAGTAAAGATACACTGGGGGTAGAGAAGGGTAAGGAAACTCAATGCAATTAAAAAGCAAGAAAAAGGCCACCTATAAAAGTGCACCGTTTTATGGAATTGCCTTCAGTAATGTTCACTGCAGCATTTAGAAAAGGATGTATGTTTTCCTTTTGATTCCCCGGATGAATACTTGTAAAATCTTTTGATAGAATACACTTTCAAAGTCTCTCCTCATATCTGCCATATCAAGCCACTCTCCGTATCTTCTTAGGTTCTGCACATTCTGGTAGATATGCAGAGCTTTCAATCTGTTGAAAGAAATATACTTTTTCTCTGAACATCAGGAAAAAACCTGCCAGGTCCTGGCACTTCCATCAGCAGCATTGTATATGAGCAAGGCAGTGCAGTGGCTACTTTCACAGTACACGTACTTTCTTTTTATTACATTTATAAGAAGAACTTCGTTAAAAAAAAGTTTAATGCAGCTAAAATCGTTCCACCCTTCCACACAATCTCTTCAGTCAAATACTGATATCGTTCAAGTCAAGTTAGGTGTAAATCACTCAAGGGTGACTTTTTACTACTGATTAATAAGGAATCTCCTCTAGTTACAAAGCAAGAGAGGTGCACATGCCAGGAACGAAACTCACCCCACTCAGGGTACAGCCATTATAAACCAGATTTATCTGAGAAATCAAGTGAGGACTGGTGCTTGATGAATGAGTCCACCCAGAAGTTATGATTTAGGTTTACGTAATGGAGAAGCAGCTACCCCAAGACACAGATTCTGAAGGCTCTACTGGTCACTGGAATCATGCAAGCGTACAGCTGTTCTGACCCCTCAGTGTTCCTAAATACTGTGCGGTAGTTTGAAGTCTATAATTTTAGCAAGTTTCAGCCTTTTCTAGAAGACTGTTCTCTGTTTCCAAAGCTGTGCTATCCAAATACCCTTTGCAAAGCTCTGCTATCCAAGTACCAGAGAGACATCATGCATGAAAATGTATTTCACCTCAAGGGCATTCTACCATATACGACTCACCTAAAGGAATTTGGGAAAAGACCTTGTAGTAATCCTTAGAACAGGGTAGATGCTGCAAGAGGGTCTTTCTAGATGAGCTCTACGGTCCTATGGACTACCCACAGGCCAAGGAACAAAGAAAGAAGAGTTTTGTCCTTGCTGGGACAACAGGAGACTAACTTTACTATAACCTCAGGTTCCCACCTATGAAACAGGCATGAAATGTGCTGTCTATGAATCTAGTGATCTGTAACAGTCTGCAAATAGACAGTCTTACTCAAGAACTGAAACTCCTCCCATGCCAGTTCTTGGTTTTTTTTTTCTCCTGCTATTTAATATGAATGGGACAAGAATGAAAGACCCTGTCTGCAGTTCAAAAGAGGAATTATCAAACAAATGTTTCTTCAGTATTTTCACAAAAGACCAGAAAATTAACCATCTGCAGCAGCAAACAGCATTCAAAAACATTCTCAGTTTTGGACATGTTGTGTGTTTGAACATAAACAAAATAACTACTCTGCTCCCCCAAACTCTCCTTCAACAAGTATTTCACCTTACTTGATTCATGACCACTGCCAACTTGACCACAGCACCAGTCAAATCCCACACAATGACCTCAGTATTTCTGAACAGGCTGAATTGTTCCAGAAACAGAGTCTAAGGACTGCAGGGTAACAGTGTCGGTGTCTGCATGTGGACTGATGGGGGTTCCTGAAGCAAATCTGCTGCTGATAGAGAAAGTTTCCACTCTGAGAGCAACTGGTCAGTATTAAGAGGGTTCTTGCTCTTCCTTGCTGGAGATTTCCATCTCTTCAGCTGTGTCAAACAGTCCATACAGGTCACACTAACTGATAGGCCAGAAACATGTATCAAGGATAGGGACCAGGAGTAAGGGCAAGCTGGAATGGGAAACATTTTAAAATGACAGTCAAATAAATAGACAATTAACATTTGTAATCAGTAAATTGGTTACCATATAACAACCCTCATCCAAATTGATACTGGACTTCACTGAATGTTGTCAAGACGGCTGAGACCATACTCTGTCACCTGCAGTTTAATTACACAGTAGAATTACTGCAAAAGTTGCAGCACAGCTAAGGGAGTCCAAATTGTGGTATAAGGCAAGAACAAGCTTTCAAGATCTTCACTTTTGAAAGTGCCATAGGCTCTAACCACACCCAGATACATCTGTCACTGGGGATATGCACATTTTCTTGAACATGTCTAGTTTAGAAAACCAATGTCAATCAAAATTATTTTCTGCATGCACTGATTGCTACTGGATAACTGCCTGTGATGAATTCATAAGTAACAAATTGCTGTATTCAACTAAATAAGACTTTTTTTTGTCAACTCTTATCCAAAATACACAATCCTGTGCATTTCTATCTATTTTTTATGACCATCACAGGCTACAGAGACTGTGTGCTACACATCCTCTATAAAACAAGCATATTGTATTTTGAAGGATATGAACAGCAATTTTTAAATCCAAACAAACGTACGTCTAGTTCTTAAGCACCGTGACTAAGAGGCAGGGAAAATATTTTATTTCTGTATTTCACTCACCTGTGTTGTAGGGCACTGTAGGTTTATTAACACTACGGGGCTGGCACATTTCAGAATGTTAAAGTAAAACAAAATGGTCTTGTTCCTATGGAAGTGGATATAAGATAATTAATGTTACAAATATGGTTGCTTACACATCCTACCGTTCAAAAATGTATAGCATACATCGATATTTAAATTCTATTACTGTGAATGGTCATATTGCAAACACAAGATAAAAAAAGAAATGCCAAGCAGGCCCTGAATGATCTGTGCCAAGACATCTCTGAAAGCAGAGTATTTGTTCTAAAGAATGCTAATTTTGAGAAGTTTTTTCCACAGCAAGATTTTAAGTTGAAACAACCCTAGGCACCATTACAGGTATCTGTAGTCCTGCCTCTAAGAAATGAGGCCTGTAAAATACTCTTTTTCTACCCCTCACTGAGTTTGCTGGGAATGCTTGTTCCAAAAACAAGCAAAACCACTGTGGTCCCTTTGCTTACACTGAACAGATCATGTATGTACTGCACGCAAAACGGACATCAGCAAATGCTGCACTGTAAAAGCTGCCTATTTTTTGTCGATCAGAAGGTGGCACCAAAAGCAATCAAAAGCTTTTTATGGTTGGAAACTGAAAGCAGCTGGCCAGGAGACAGAACGGTAATAGCATCTGCTAATAATGCTGATACACCCCCTCTGACATAGGTAAGGGACAGTCTGAGGGGAATCCACACACTTCTGGAACCTGTGACCTTGAGGTAGCGGTCACCTCCGTTTGGGTTTGTTGAAAACTGATTACCCCAAGATCTCTGGATTTAAACACCTGGGCTCTGAAGACAGCAAAATAAACTGTTAATCTCTGCAATGTCAGAAAATTATCAGCTCCAGTGAAGATGGTATGGTAGTAATCCTGCCCTTCTTAGACGAGACTTCAATGTCAGCTAGCCATGCCAGGACTATTGGGCGTCCCTACAAGAAATAAGGGTGCATGTGCCCCGCTGTGCACTGTGACGTGCAAGAGAAGACAGTAAGGGGTGCTGGACCACCACTGACCCCCGCTCTGGCAATGCAGCAGAGAGGGAGCTCTGCCTTGGGGGCAGGAGAGCAGTGTTCACGACGACGCGTACTCGGGCTCAAACGTGCCCCTCTTCCACCTGTGGACTCGGCACAAGTCCTGCTCCTGCATCTCTCCATTGCACCCCCTAGTCCAGGACATACCCTCTGACCTTCCACCAGCACGTGGCTCCGACCAATTGCTGGATATGGCTGTGCCTTCAAAGCCACTATATAGCATCGCTGCACATTCAAACTCCCTTTAAAACTGGGATTAGCTCAAATGCCTGGCATTTTACAAGGTTAAATTGTTTTCACTGAGGTATGTTCTAACTATGCACTGTTTAACAAAACATGCACCCTGGCAAAAACAATTCACTATCATTAGTTGTTATTTCGTCAAATCAATAGAATACATTTTTTGACTGAAAGGTCATCGTTCTTCAATAGTTTCTTGACAGTATTTATAATCTGTGAGCTGCTCAAAGCCATTAATGAAACCTTTTTTTCCCCCTATGTGTTAGCCCACTTGCTGATATTGACAGCAGAAAAGAAAGTTTAAACATATACATAACACAAGAAAACAGCGACCAAGGACTAGGCCTGTATTCTTTATAATGAAATTGTGTTGTATTCCATGATTACACTGTGCTCTGTTAGAAGGCAAAACAAGTTTAGAGATTACATGGAGATTAACGGATGGATTACAGGGAGACACAAAGAGGCCTAAGAGACTCACATGACAACACAAGGTAGAATTGATTTGACTGCATGGAATTCATTGGAGTTCAAATGGGTTTTTGCATGAGCTGAAAGTGTTGGCTTGGGTTTTAGCTTCTTTTTCTACTCTTCATTGAGATTGCTGGGAATGCTTGTTCCAAGCAAAAGATTCAAAACACAGGGACTGTGATCACTTTCCAAGGAAAAAGTCTCAGACTAAGCCCGTGGGGACTTTGGAAAATGATAGTCTTGGGCTAGCCTTTCACACTGCTTACTTGTAGGGCATCTGAAAAGTCTGACAACGGTATCAGTGAAGGCCTGACAAGCACATCCCACAGCTCCACTTTTAGGGACTAGAGAGACTTGTCCAGAGGGACCTCCTGGCCTACTGCCATAAACACTCTTGCTTTTCCAGTAGGTTGTATTGTGTGACTTTTGGCTTTTATCTTTGTAAGAAACTCCTCAGTGTAGCAAGTAAGTATCAAAATGCAGTCTCAATAGCTGTATTATTCTCCAGCAATCATATATATATATATGTGTGTGTGTGTGGAGGGACATTTGCGAATACAAACTGGAAAGCGCATTGTAAGAAATAACGAAAGGGAAGACTTGAGTAACAAAGGGCAAGAGGGACCGGGAGTGGATGACAAGAATGAGAGAGAAGCATCTTGCTACACACCACACAGTGCATGGATGCTGTGTGTCTGAGACTCCCAAAGCCATTTGCCCATGGCTTCCTACAGACCAGAGAGAAGAGAAGGGCAAACTGGGGGGCGAGGAGGGGGGGAACAAAGAAGGGGTGCAGTGAGGGGAACACACACAACACCACAACTTTTTCTCCTATTTTTTTCTGTTCAGGAAGTTGTACTCTCCAACAACTGCTTAAAGAACTTTAATGGGAGGGTGGAACAGGTCTTCTTACACTATCTAGTCTGCTTCCTCTGTAAAAAAAACTTGAGAGGATATAAAGTTATGTATACAGAAGGATATAAAAGGAACTCTACTCTGTTCCACTCCCTATCTCCTGCTCCTTGCCTTCTGAACTGCCCTTTGGAGAGTGGCTTTCTTAGCTTTTTCCCAGAAAACTGAATGGGGAAAGAAAGAAGCAGCAAAGAGCTGTTCTCAAACACTAGCTTCTGTTTTTCTTCCTGCATAGCATCCAGCTTCTTCACAGTGACAAGGGCATAAGGGGTGCCTAATACTTTTTAAAAGGATGAAGGTGAGGGAAAAAGCAAACTATTTTCTAAATTCTGTTTCATAAAACAGTTGGATTTTCAGCTGTTTTCATGTAGAAGTACTCTGTTGATATCAACTAATTAACTTAACTCTCACAATTCAAAATTTAAAAATACTAGGAAACCGAGACAAGTAAATAGAGCCGTTTGGCCGATATCCCCAAGGAAGGTATGGTTACAGCTGCCTGTCTCCCAGACCTCCCAGTATCCTCTCTACCTGCACTGGATAAGCACCAGAAAAAAACAAGAGCTTTTCTTTGTGGTCTTGTCTTTTATTTGGTGCATGTTGAGAAAAACTGAAAACCAGGCTACAATGCTTTAGGACTACTCTCTTATCCCGAGGTGGACAGACAAATCACTCATCGGGCTATTAACTACCCAAACTTTGGCAGTTAGAAGCTGTGCCAGCTAGTCACTTTCTACGCAATTAGTGATGCAATCTTTAAGTTATACTGATACTTTACCAAAAATATTCTCTGAATGATGCAAACTGCACTAGAGTAATAATTTGAGTCTACATTTGCACTGAGCAACTAATCTCAAACTAATCTCTCCATTTCTGAACTTTATTTGGAATAAATATAGTAACAACGTCGCTGTCTCTTCAACTTCCCACAAGAACCCCAAGCAGACAGGGAGATTTGAAACCTCACATCTTATTCGTAGTGCATGAGTAATAAAGGTATGCGAATGGATTTAGTACTCACTCATTGAGGGTATCTTTCTGACCACAGAACTGCCCATAGCTGTCAGTTGGATAAATCACTTTCCTGGGGTCACCGTGCACCCAAGCTGCAAATACACACATATCTTTTAACATTTGAGTCAAGTGTACACAGTTAATAGTTGAAGCGGACTAGCATGGAAGTGTGTCACCTCTCATGTACCATTTTAATGTTTGTTGATCACCACTGAGGAGTATTGATTTGTAGATGTCCTAATGAAAAACTGAAATATAAAACAAGCTAAACTGCACTAAGAGACAGATGAATAAACAAACCAGTTCACTTTTTACCTTCAGGGCACATATATCTGGGCTGTATCCAAAATATGATGTAACGGACTTAAAAAAAAAAATGGCTAATAAAAGGGGAAAGAAGAGGAGCTAACTATGTAGACAAATTTGAGCGCTCACAGACAACCACAATGGCATTGAAATTAAAGGGATTACCTCATTGTGTGACAGAAATACACAGGGTGTGACTGAATCTAATGGACTCCATCTGCACTAATGGAAACAAACTCTCACTTTGTAAATTAAAACATTTCCTGACCTCTCACTTGGCAGTTGTCCCATTTTTCAGTTATTAGGTCTGCACTTGGCAACTTATGTATTATATGCTAGCATGAACCACAGTACTGAGTGGGAAGAGAGGTTTATATTAAGCTTTTAAACGTCTTTTCTCCACTTCGAGGCAGGATTTTTTCTCCAAGCTATTTTCACCTGCACCATTATTTCGCTTTGAGGATCAAGCCCACACCAGCTTCACTACTAGTATCGTTATTTCTAAGCTGTAGTGTGCAGACCTGACTAAGCCTCCTTCATGGCTACTGTTCTGACTGCTAACTGCTGATTTGACCCTAAATAATGGCAATTCCATTTATTTTTAAGTATCATCTGAAAGTAAGATATAATGCCGGAATATAATTCCATATCACTACCCTGAGCTGACATCCTAAAATCAGGTTGCTAGAGAACTGTTAGAAAAGACCATTGATCTTCTCCCAAAAATTTCCTTGTGCTTGTGTTATGTGGAAAAGATTACAGGTATTACAAAGATTTTAGTCCCACCTTTCCCCCCCTTGCACTATATACTGAATGTCAGGATCCCACTTAGGATACACTTTAGGCTTTGATTTATGCAAACCACCTTGAACTTGCTTCTCTGTAATTACTCTATTTTCTCTCAACTTTGTGACATTATATTCAGTCATTTGTGAAACTGTCATCTTCCTCAATGTCACTTTGGTAAGAATAACAGCACTTAACAATAATGACATGTGCAGCTGAGACAGAACCTATGTAAGACCTCAGAGCAGCAGACTGCAAATTTATTGAAGTGTTCGGGACAGATGCACAACGTATCTTCAATGACTTGCAAATATATACAGAGAATCAGTAATGCTGCCTTTCACCTGGAATGGGTTTACGTTACAAAAATGAATCTGCTAGTTCTTTTTAACCTATGTTAGTTTTCCTGTGTTTTGGAGTTTGTAAATTAACCTGCTGCTTGGTATCAAACACTTCCTGAACACCCAGGTTAACTGCATTTCAGATTAACTGTGGTGCTCTGATGCTCAGAGAAAACTAAAGTGCTTCACCTGTGCTAAACCCCATTTACTTTTTCATTTGTTAGCCCCCACTTATTTCAGTAGCATTACTTAATAGGATCCTTTAGGAGGCACCAACTCTCTCAGGAATTCTGATAGTCAGTTGATAACTCATATGTGTACATGACATTAGAAAGCTCCCTGATGTTCACAATGAGTCTTTAGGTTATGCCATGTACACTTTCTTCCATCATGACTTTGACAAGAGGGAGTTTTTCTTTCTACTTTCATATGACTTTGCTTTTCATACACAGAATCATTAAGGTTGGAAAAGACCTTTAAGATCATCAAGTCCAACCATCAACCCAACACCCCATGGCCATTAAACCATGTCCCGAAGCGTCACGTCCACACGTTTTTTGAACACTTCCAGAGATGGTGACTCCACCACCTCCCTGGGCAGCCTGTGCCAATGCTTGACCAGTCTCTCCGTAAAGAAATTTTTCCTGATATCCAATCTAAACCTCCCCTGGTGCAACTTGAGGCCATTTCCTCTCGTCCTATTGCTGGTTACTTGGGAGAAGAGGCCAACCTCCACCTCACCACAACCCCCTTTCAGGTAGCTGTAGAGAGCGATGAGGGCTCCCCTCAGCCTCCTCTTCTCCAGACTGAACACCCCCAGTTCCCTCAGCCGCTCCTCATCAGACTTGTGCTCCAGAGCCCTCCTCAGCTCTGTTGCCCTTCTCTGGACACGCTCCAGCACCTCAGCATCCTTCTTGTAGTGAGGGGCCCAAACCTGAACACAGGATTCCAGGTGCCTCAGAAAAGCCTGGTAAAACACGTAAAAGCCTGGACCCAAATGGATCAAGCTATATAGACCTATAAGACCTTTCAGGCCTTTCTTGTGTGATGGTAGAGGACTCTAACACATCAGTGTTTTCCCACACCCAAAATTAGGTTTTTTTAATTAGTCTGGCACATTATTAAAGGGACTCATTTTTCACATTTGACTGTATTTTTTCTTTAACACCAGCAAAACAGGAAGCAGTAGAGATAATTCCCACCATGACAGATTCAAAGTACTGATGAGAATTTTGTAGCAAGACTTCTATCTGCTTCACATAGATAAGTCGGGAGTAGTCGCTACTGCCAACAATATCCCTTTCCTAAGTAGCATATTAAACCTGGAATTATTTTTCACTCCTCAGACAAACTTGGGAGAAAGGAAATAAAACATTCCAACATAATGTTCGTTGGAGGTTTTTTCGCTATCTCAGTCTTACTAAGGGTCTTTCCATACGAAGGGCCCCTGTGTCCCAGGCTTACTTCCTTCAGCCTGTTTGGGTGGACTAACAGCCAACAAGAATAAAACTCATCAAATGGGCAGAGCAATGTATTCTCCTCACATTCTTTTTAGTTCTAATACAAAGTCTGCTGAAATATTTCAAAGGGCTCCCTTGGTTTCACTGGGTGTGTATCAATCCTTGGTCTCATATTTAATCACTCATATTTTGCAGTGTGTTTCTCAATTATTAGTAGAAACTCACAGCGTATAAACAATGGGGCACACTGCTCACTTCTGAATAGAATTTCTGGTCAGACTGTACCTGCTTTGCCATTATCGAATTGTCTGAAACTACTCCTGCTTGGCAGAAGTTGTCCTGTGTGCCTAAGGCTTCAGTCATGTATTTAGTATTAAAATTTTTAGTAGTATTACAAAGAATCTGTTTTTAAAAGACAGATTTAGCACACTGTGAAATTCCATCACTGGGATCAGCTGCTGGGTGGATGGAGGAAGATGCCTCTCAGCTGAATTCCAAAGTGAAACCAAAAATAATTGGGTCTGATTTACAACGTATATATTTAGCACTCTGCAGCAGAAAGAAGAGGCAAATACCAACAGAAGAGAAAATACAGGCTTCTTTCATTGCCTATCCTAGGGCTAACCATCAAGATTAATAAACTTAATCCTCTTTCACCTTCACTGCGAACTTAGAGCAATGACAGTGAAAGAACCCATGTGATAAGTACACAATTTTTCTGGCCTAGTCAGTGAAGAGTAAGTACCTTATTCAACAGCTCTCACCGAGTGAAGAAAGTTATTGTACAAACTGGCCTGACAGAGCAGCACCATGTTTTGCATGTTGTGCTGCACTATTGACGACTCACTATCAAGCGCTAAATGAAAAGGAATCCAGTCACATAAAATTTTTATTCGAGCATTCTCCGATGCCCATAAGGCTGCAGTCTGAGTGCTGGCACAAACACCTGGGCTAAAAAAGAAAATTAAAGAACAGCTGAACCATATTGCACAGTTGACTCAGCCCTCAGAGCAGCAATGTGACATCTTATGACACCGGTATAGCATTTTTGGGAGGCCTGCAGTTATGTCGGTCCTGTCATTGATGTGGAGCCCACACACATGGACGGTATCAAAAAAAGCTAACGTCTGCCTCTAAATGTCTATCAGAGGCACTTCTTTTTTTCTGCGCCGTATGGGCCATGTCAGTGGTTGCAAAGGCTGGAAAGCTCCCTGTCAAGGAGAAAATGCGATTATAACAATGGCATCCTGTGATACTTAAAAATGAACTGTGGATCTGCTTATACTATCTGTCTCCCTCTACTGTGTATTTTTGAAAGGGCAGTCTTCCATATCATTAATTTGCTCCCCTTAAAGGTATATTTTCCATGTTTCAATGTATGGAGAAACTGACCTGCCACATTGTTCTTATGGCTTTTTTACACAAGCAATAACACAAGCAATTTACTAATGTATTGAAACTTGTAATAGAACACATGATACAGAGTTTGTAAATCCATGTTGGTAACACTGGTAATGTATAAGCACTGGAGCAATACAATAGGAGTTATTACTTGAATTAACGTGTCCCTTGGAATGTGAAGCTCTGTTCCAAGATAACTTATTTGCCGCCTTTCATGTACACTTTTCTAACTTAAAATAATCTTAAATTAAGAGGCTAAACATTTGTAAAGCATCGCCCAGACAAGCCCAGTGCCTCTGAAATAAACACGAAGAGTTAAGTCACTTTGACACAAAGGAAAACTACAAGGAATGTTAAAATAGCACTATTAGTTCATCTGTGAAGTTAAAAGAATGATAAGAAAGTAAATCATAGAATAACTATTTCTATTCAGTACAGTCACTCAATAGCAGCCATCACTGAAGCAGAACTAAGAAAGGCCAGTATCAAAAACTGTTTGGTTTCATCTTCCAAGAAGAACTGATTACCTTATACTCAGACTACATTTCAGCCCCCCTGAAACATAAAAAAATTCTACTTCACTGTTACACAAACACACGTACAACTGAAGCCTATGTGAGCTATACATACAAAGCTAAGGGCAAAATTTGACTCAGATTTTCAGCCACAGTAGTTGAGTGATGAACCTGCCTTTATTGCTCACTTCTCAAGCCAAGTTAAACAGGGATCCAGAGCAATATTCACACATATTAAAGAAATTGCAGAAATCTGCCTTTTCTTTTTCTATAACAAGGCATAATTCATGACTAAGGATTGATTTATACTCTATTTTCTCTTAATGTGAACTTCTTGAACTTCTTTGAGTCTCATGTATTTTGTGCAGTGCTGGCCCCTGGAACTGAACCAAAGCTGACCTCATCTTTTATTTGGAAATAAATTAGAGTAAAAAGAATAGCTGAAGCACAGTACAAGGAAAGATGAAAAGCAGGGAGCATGTCGATCTGGATTTGGAGATGAACTAAATTCTAGATTGAAAATTCCAATCTGATCTGTAAGAAAAGTAGAAAAAGTCACCAGCTACAAATCTGGTATTTGGTTCCAGTTCTAACCAGCATTTCATAAGGTTTGCAAGAGAAGGCTGTTCAGACACTTCCTGTCCACTGGGAAACCACTGCGTGTGCAGAGCAGGGAATGTGACCAATTCACTGTTTCACATCACGGGAACTACATTGTCTGAGATTACAGACATGAAGAAGCAAGGAACTGGCCAGTCCTTTTCTGCTGCTATCTACTTCTGCAACTTCTAGCATATGGGGTTCTTTGGAAACTGCACATAGAAAGCTGACATAAAGTTCTAGCCAAAAAATTAAGGAGGTTTATATAGTGCTGGAAAGAAAGCCAAGATCTGGAAGCACAAGAATGCTGTACAAGCTAGAAACTGCCAATGCTCTTCTTTCCCTTTGTCCAGGCAGCAGCACTTCAGAATACTGCCTGTCTGCACAGGGGCAGGTCGTCAGTCACCAGAGAATTTGTATGCTCAAGAAAACAACAAATGTTCCTGTGATCTAAGTCCAGCTTTTTCAGTTCTGCCTTTGCATTTGAGCAGTGACAGAAGGAGAGTGCAGAACATCAATGAAGAATCAATCAGGTAGGAAGAGGAGGACAACAGCACAGACATTAGAGGGATGTCCTTCAGACACGGCATGCTCCTGGCACCAAGCGGGAGGCATGGCAGGTCTGCAACAACCGTGCATAGAAGAGCAGCTACTCTTGCTTTTCAGGACTAATAATTTACCCGCTTCTCTTCAGTCTATTGCAGAGCAGGTTTAGTAAGCAGAGATATACATTGCATGTATATTCTAGGAAGTCCCTCTCCAATCTCCTATAACTGGAAGTCACGTGACTATTTCTGCTCCAAAAACTTTCACAAGTCGATTTGGATTTAAGCAGAGTGGGAACAATTCAATTAGGCCATGAGGGTAATTATTGCCAATTAGGCAAGAAGGTGCTTCATTCCATAGCAAAGGAAAAGGCCCATCAGATCCAAACTGTAGCCAGAACTGTGATGAGAGAGTACATGTACATTTTGCATACACAGAATCCAGCAGTGGCTACAAAACAAAGAGATCCTAGACTTGTCTCCACACAGATGCCAGTGATGTTAACTTAAGGATCACAATCACAGACACTGACCTTGTGAAAAAGTTGTCAAAGGACTTTATTTCAAGTCAGTCTGAAGCTGACTGTACAATCATGCCATGCAGTACAGTTAGGGACTCTCTTCCCAGATCCAATCCCAAAGAGACTCCTAACACTGCTGTAATCTCTAGAAGTATGGCATAAAATCAAGTACAGCTTGAATAGCTTCTGAATTCACTTTTTGCTCTGTCCATTTTTCTTACATTCATAAATCTCAACTTACTCATTTTTGGGAAACAGAGACTCAAATTCATTAGACAAGGAAAAAAAAAAAGAGTTCCGAAAAGAAATAATTTCTTCCACCTGCAAGCATCATCAGCCATCTGCTACCCTGCTGTTTGCTTCCTAGTGCGGGCTTCGCACTTCCTTGCAAAGGTCCTCCATGCCTCTCTCATTTGCTGGTATATACCATTTGCTTCCTCACTCTCCATCCTCCTGAAGACATAAAGGTTCATGACAGGGCAGTCATTAAGTGCAGGGGAATAAGGGAAAGAAAAAATACACACAGAGATTCCCCAGAGCTTGAGAGAGAGAACAGACTTCAGAATGTGTTCAGTGCTTGGCTACTACAGGCAAGGTGAGAGGACACAGCTCAGCACTGTGGCTGGGAGGACGTTATGCTACCGTACAATTTAGTGGGAGGATAGAGAATTCCCTCAGCAGTTACTGGAATCACCTAGGTTAAAGCAGTCTTGCTAACAGTCACCATTTCATGCTACAGACAGCAGCTTTTCACAGAATGGTTGGGGTTGGAAGGGACCTCTGGAGCTCATCTTGTTCAAAACCCCTGCTCAGACAGGGTCACCTAGAACAGGTTACCCAGGACCACATCCAGACAGCTTTTGAATATCCCCAAGGACAGAAATTGCACAACTTTTTCTCTCTACAGAACAGAAAATGGTATTACAGAATTACGACAAAAACTAATGGCTTTTTTTTTTTAGATAAGGCGGGGTCAAAACAATCTTTTACAAGCAAATTGAAAGAGCTCAGACAGGCATGCAGAGACACAGTAAGTACATTTTTACAGCACCGCTTGTCCTTTCACACACAGGCACACATACAACTCTCTCACACAAACAGAATAAAATGGCTATTCTTAACGAATATCCCGATGTGCAAACAACTCTGGATCCTACAATAAATGAAGTAATTTCTCTCACTTCACCTTTTATGGCTCACATAGGTTCTTTCAGTAATGTTTTACAGAACAAAAAGCCACTTAAAACCAAAGGGTTTATCTCTAACTTTTGGTGTCAGCTTAATGACAAATGAAAGCGCATTTTTCTACCACAGTTACTTTATGACAGCAAAATTATCAAACCATGTCATTTTTACTTGAACATACTTAATTTTGAGTTTTTCACCAGTAAACACATGGTTTTGAACTTCTCCCTAATTACAACAGACCCTAAATGTTAATTCATTATTTGCTTCTAGGCAAGGCATTGCTTATTGATTGGAAAGGTTTACTTAGATTTAAGCAAAAGGGACACACCAGTTAAAAATTCTAACATTCACAAAGTTGCTTCCCCTGTGCATGAGAAAGCACTACTATACCCGCATTTACTTACCCACAATTCCTAATGCAATGTAACCCAGAATGACAACTATGAAGATCACACAGCAAATAACGTCTGTACAGTGCCTGGGGACAGAAAGAAACACTTCTTAAAAATAAGGTGTCTAATATGACCCCTTGTAAATCGAGTGTCATATGGTATTTTAACGTCTGAATAAGATGTCTGCATCTGCACTTAGTAGAAGTCTTACTCACAAAATCACGTTTGAGGTGTAAGGCCCTGCTTTCTCAGCAAGACCAGCAAATAAATGTTCATGCCTTTTGCATTGTACGCAGCAATAAAAACTTATTGAGGATCAGGTTGAAATTTTCTTAAAACAAATAGCACCTTACAACATTGAATCCATGAGATCACTTAAGGTATAAGCTCCTACAGGACATCTGCCTCAGCATGTCTCTAAAGCTGGTATCAAATATTGCAAACAATGTGATGAAAGAAAGATTCAGCACAACTTACCTGTATTATACATAGCTTATGAGTGGAAAAACAACAGCACGAAATGAAAAAAAGCCCATATGCAACTGCCCCTGATCTCTGTGCAAAATTCTGCCTCAGCTGCTCGACCTCATTTAATGCAACCAAAATATGCTCTATGGAGAGGACAAAAAAGCCCCAACATATTGTGGAGACCCATATCTTCTTTTACAAACAAGCAATCAAAGAACAGCACTCTCCAGCCCGAAAACTGAGCCAGTGAGTAACCTGTGAGTGTTTAGTTAAATTACTGCCTTCTACTTATTGGTCTGCATATTAAGTTCATGCAGGCAGAGGAGTAGGGATGTGGACTACTAGACTAATTTCCCTCCAGCGCCTGGCCTGGATCAGAGCAGTTCCAGGAGTGCAAGTAGGATGAAGTATGACACTCCCAAGAGAGCAGGAGAGGGTCAGTACGCGCTTGTGGAGACCATCGACTCCGAGGGCTCCAGCTGAGGTGAGCAATTCTCTCCTTCACAAGCCAGCTTCACAAGCCCGTGTTTCACAAGATGCATGGAAGCAAAGCAAAGCCTTTGCAGGCCTCACTGGTTACAAAACATTTGTAGCCAATGGTCTCGCGAGTGTTTAATTAACAAAGGAGTGAATTACTCGTAAAAAGGTGTGCTGCCTAGAACCTCCTTACCTGAAGGATTTCAATTGCTATTGTTATTTACCATGTCCTGCACAATCACAGAATCATTAAGGTTGGAAAAGACCTTTAAGATCAAGTCCAACCATCAGCCCAACACCCCCATGGCTACTAAACCATGTCCTGAAGCGCCATGTTCACACGTTTTTTGAACACTTCCAGTGATGGTGACTTCACCACCTCCCTGGGCAGCCTGTGCCAACGCTTGACCACTCTCTCCGTAAAGAAATTTTTCCTAATATCCAATTCTAAACCTCCCCTGGCACAACTTGAGGCCATTTTCCTCTTGTCCTATTGCTGGTTACTTGGGAGGAGAGACCAACACCCACCTCACCACAACCCCCTTTCAGGTAGTTGTAGAGAGTGATGAGGGCTCCCCTCAGCCTCCTCTTCTCCAGACTGAACACCCCCAGTTCCCTCAGCCGCTCCTCATCAGACTTGTGCTCCAGACCCCTCCCCAGCTCCGTTGCCCTTCTCTGGACACGCTCCAGCACCTCAACGTCCTTCCTGTAGTGAGGGGCCCAACACTGAACACAGGATTCGAGATGCGGCCTCACCAGTGCCGAGTACAGGGGCACGATCCCTGCCCTGCTCCTGCTGGCCACACCATTGCTGATACAGGCCAGGATGCTGTTGGCCTCCTTGGCCACCCGGGCACATGGCCGGCTCATGTTCAGACACAGTTATCTGACACAGTTTTGCTGAAGAACTGGTTGTATAACTTAAAGTTGTACGGACTGTAACGGCCCCATTTGGCCAGGGTTCACGTCTGCAGAGCCTGTTGGTGCTGCTCGGGGCTGTCCCCATGGCTCTAGTAACAAACTGCTGCTGTTCTGACCTGATCCAGACCCTGATCCGCTTTTCTGTGACTGATGAGTGAGCAATAATGACCCCGGGAAAGCTAACACATGCTTCAAGTTAAAGTAAATGATCACCTTCATAAAATGAGCAATGACCATCTCTGCTTGTGAGTCCATGCAAGGAGCCAAGTGGATGCAAGCTGAATCTTGCCAGTAAAAGAAATCTTAGAATCCAAACTCCAACTGACATAACAGTCATTTTTAGTATCTACCATTCTCTCCACTTTCCAATTTATGTTTCCTCTTACAGAGAACCATTATTCTTTGGCATAAAGGAGGTAAAGATGGCAGATCTTTTAAACAGTTGGAGAACTGGAAAAGTGTTTCCAGGTGTGGAAAAGGAATGAAAAATCCCACACCCTTCTCTAGAGGGACACAGTTTTAACACCTCACTGAAATAAATTTTTAGTGAGGCCAAGGTGGTACAGGATGCAAGGTCAATAAGACAGTAATCTAAGTAAGGACAACTGCTTAAACTAGAAGTGGTGCTGAAACAATGCTGCTCATTTTCCCATTCTCCATCCAGAAGCAGTTCTGACACTGCACACGCTTGGTTCTCACCCCATCAGAGCCGTTTTTAATATGTACGATATTTAATTCAAGATGTCTCAGGAGAACTATGACACCGTCAATACTTTAATTACAACTCCGATAGTCTCGAAAACCTCTTCCAGTGCAATTATGACAGGTCTCATTCTACGATACCTAAATGCAATTAAAGGTTACACCCCTTTGTGCTAAAGCTTCCTTTTAAAGTTCTGCAGAGCCACCACAAACAAGTACCCATAAACACTTTACCAGAATGCAGAATTTTCTGTTCCTCACAATACACAAACTTCTGTGCGGTACCTAATAAAACTTACTGTTGCCAAGTATTGCTGTTATATTAATAATTAAATGATACATAAGAAGTACATAAATCCTGTTTTGGGTTGCTTCAGAAAATTCTGAAACAGTTCATACAGACTAATTGTTATTCATACAAAATAATTGCCTATTTTACTAGATATACAGGTGAAACCCTGGCTCCATTCAACATCATCGTTAGCTCAAGTAGGTCACTTTCAGTGAGATCATATTATTATCTCATAAATACAAGGCTCCATATGAGACAAAAAAAAGTAAAACATCTTAAATGCCTAAATTAAAATAACTCTGTAACGATACAAGGTTATACTGTGAAGATCCTGGGAGCTTCCAAAGTTGCAGGAACTAGAACAATGGGGATTGCCTCTTCCTAAACAAGAGATACGGGAAACCTGATCAGAAATTATCCAGCCGTGCTTTGACTGAAAACAGATGTGATATAAATTTTTTCAAACTAAGGCGGCAACCTGTTATGGCAAATCTGCTTTTTCAGTTTGTTTCAGGCTAATGAGGCAGAGCAAATTCACTCAGGAGACTGAAGTGCTAAACTGAACCATTAAACTGAACCCTAAGGAAGATGGGTTAATGGAAACACGATTATGAGAATAGGAACTGAGAACACCGCTTATCATACAGGCTCTATGATCTTTCTTACAAATAGCGCTACCACACTTTTATACAATAATTATGTGTAAACATTCAAAGATTAATGAGAAAAAGCACTTTACATTTCTTCTGGCATAGAAGATGAAAACATTAAAAATGCTTTTGCTAATAGCCAGTATTGGAAGTTTTCATGGGTTTTGGTACTTTTTAGATAACCAAGTTCCATAATCTAAATCAAGACACAGTAAGTCTATGTATTTGAGCACAGGAGTTTCCATAGAGATAAACTGTTGATAAAACCATCAGATTCATAATTTACAAGTGACAAAATAAAAGGCCTTCATTTGGTTAAGTGCACAGTTCAGGTTCCCATGTCACATTTTACTGCTTATGACTGTCATCTAGCTTAATGTATGGAGCCTGATTTGCTTTCCACCGTCTCTCAGAAACATACCGGCTTCTTGGCTCCTCTTGCTGTATCACATGTGGCTGCACACGCAAGCACCACTTTGTGCACGTGTAATGGCATCCTAGCAAATACATGAATGCAAAGATAAAATCATCCACACAGAGTATTAGTGCATAAAAGCCATTTATTCACTGATAGTTCATGCACTTAATCATAAATGACTGACTAGAACCCCTCTCTGTTGGGCAGTTTCATGCCCAATCTGTCACAAGTGCAATTTTGCTCAAGATGCTGCACTAGCAAGAAACTGCCATGTTTATTAGTTAAGCAGCACTAGCAGTATATTAGCACCTACCAATAGTCTTGAGGCTGGCACTATGCAACCACAGCGCGAAACGAAGCTCAAGATGTTCCCACTGTGGTTCAGGTTACTGCTTTCAACTCTGCTGACACATTAAGGTGACCACTACTGTCCTCATTTCTGAGTTCCTCCACTCTGTTCGACTAACAGCTTGTGTTTTAAAAACTTCCCTAAATCATGTTGTGTGAAGGGGATGTTACACTATGCCATGAAATGCTGTGAAGAGCTCTAAAGACCCCTTTCTTCACTGGGGCTGAACCGAGAAGCGAGATCTGCTGTACAAATGGGTATTTCTATCAGCACAGGGACACTGAGGGCACTATCCTGCATAGCCGAACAAATGTGCAAGGTGCCCATAAACTAAACGTTTGCAGAGAAAGTTCCCTTCAAAATCCGCCATGAATTGCTACTTCTACTATGGAGGCCAAAACGGCACAGAAAAAGGTATTTATACACGTTTTCACCACAAGCTGTTTTCCATCAACTTAAACTCTGCATTTTCTTAATGAGTATGACTGATCTGCACTGACCTGCATGGATTTACTAAGTTGAAATGGCTTAGTTACAGGCACCAGGCTTACAGATGTATTGTTTAATTCTGGAAAACTCAAAGTTTGTTACCTGCAAATGAGCAACATCTGTAGATACCGTATGCCCCAAACAGAAACATGAAACAAGAACTTAAAGAAAAATGTAGGCTTCCCCGCTCATAGTAGTGAGTGCATGGCACGTTATGTTGATATAGACAACATGTAATAATAACACATATATAGACCAATAAAATACCAGTAGCAAGACAAATAATTTTATATTCTACCAACATTTATCTATGGTAGACTCATAGTGTACTCTAAGTAACATCTTTAGCAGGTTATTTAGTTTGAAAAGCACAAAGGATAATTTAATTGTCAAACCTGTTTATTATTTCAATATTCACTACAGTATCAAGTGACGTGCCATGTAGATATCTATCAGTGACACACTCATATTTGTGAGAAGGTGAAGTTTGCATTGCTAGTTAAGGTCAGGAATTTTTATTCGTTTTTTTTTTTTAAGAAGATAGCCAAATGGTTATGGAAATTTACTGATATTCAATTTGCATGGGAACCCATTAGCTACATTTTCTAATCACAGAGGAAAAGGTCATCTTTGTCTTAACAAGAACACTGAATTTCTAGAAAGATGTTGAACAATTAAAGATAGTCCAGGAGGTGTCAAGAGTTTTTAAAACATAACAAGAAAAAAAAAATCTACAATGTGTCTAACCAGCAAGAGGAATATGAGAAAAACCCAAGAAACTACACAGAGGAGGAAGAAAAATAGGGGCAAGGGAGAGAGTTAAGACAAACTCTTTGAAACTGGACATAAGTCAGAAGTGTGGTTTATTAATTTGATTTTGCCAAAGCAGTTTAGAAAAATATGCTATGATTGTATTGACTGTATAAATTCCCTTACTGGAATTTAGAGAAAAACTAAATCATAGAATCACAGAATAGTTTGGGTTGGAAGGGACCTCTAAAGTCCATCTAGTCCAACCCCCCTGCAATGAGCAGGGACATCTTCAACTCAATCAGGTTGCTCAGAGCCCCGTCCAGCCTGACCTGGGATGTTCCCAGGGACGGGGCATCTACCACCTCTCTGGGCAACCTGGGACAGGGTTTCACCACTCTTGTCATGAAAAATTTCTTCCTTATATCTAGTCTACATCTATGCTCTTTTAGTTTAAAACCATTACCCCTTGTCCTGTCACTACAGGCCCTGCTAAAAAGTCTGTCCCCACCTTTCTTCTAAGCCCCCTTTGAGTCCTGGAAGCTGCAATAAGGTCTCCCTGGAGCCAGTGGAGGAAGACAGTTCATTTTATACCCAAAGTAGTATAATTGCATTAAGAAAAAGGAGAAGCTTGTTTTCCCACCTGTATGATGGTACCTGACTGATTTATCCACAAACACATTTAAGATATCTTATGATGATGTTGGTGGAAGAAACGCTTTTTTATTCTTAAAGAAGCATAATGCATTCTACCTAAATTGCTTATGAATCCTTAACTTCACAAGCCTTCCCCACAACATTCCCTTCTCCGTCTGGCATTGGCATGAAATACCGAGACCACTGAAGAGAGCCCCCTCCCATGTGACAGATCTGCCTGAAGTCCCATACGAGAGACCATTTCAATGCCAATGGGAGAGAGAGACAGACAGCTTTAACGCTGTGACACTAGAGAAGTGTTCGTACACTTGGAAACTGAGAGGTGCCCAACTTACTCGGTTCCTAGGGGTGAACCTCTGGGGCAAGGAAAGATGGCTTGGAGGAAATTTCTGCCTTTAAGGAATCAGAGATAGCTTAGACTAAGATTTGGGGGGGGGGGGGGGGGGCCATATGAGACAAAATCTCTTTTTTGTCTCATATGAATTCAGTTAAATTGATAATCAGATCTGCCATGAGGAAGGTATACATCTCCAGCTCAGACTGACAGGGAACACCAGGAGTTTCTATTTTTCCCTAGAAAGTTGTCTGCCAAAACTCCTGCTACATCATTTTAAACTGAGAAATTGCAGAGCTACTATTTCAACCTCTAAGGTTACTCACTTGATGGATACAACGTATAAAACCTTACAAGCATTTTCTGGTAGTAATGCACATAGATAAACACCTAATAACATCCCTAAACTATCACTTAAATTCATTCCTATACCACTGCATAAAAAGTCTCACTGGCAGTATCTTAAAGATACTTCTCAAATTAGGATCAACTCCCTAAACAAACATTTCCATTTATTTTTTAAATTATTCACTTTCAGAAAGGAAAAGAAGAAATACATCTTGCATAGATGAGACCAGTGTGTGTGTTAAGCGAGAGTACCACAAGGCTGCAGTGTTCTTCTCTATCATAAATTTTCTGCTGAGAAAGATAAAATTGATAACTAACTTGTGGTTCTCTAAGTTATTCTTTTCACTAAGGATAGTAAATGCTAGTTATGAACTTATTCTCTGTGTCACACTTACATCTGGAAAAACACTGACAAATTGCTACTGAACCTTCTGAGAGGTAACAGACATGCTTTCATCTGCAGCACTATTAAGTGAAGTCAAGGCTTTGTAATGAAGTATGTTTCAGAACTACTTTTAGGTTAGATACAATCCATATCTTCAACACATTATTTCCACTGTACACTAATGTTTCTATGGAGAACAGAGGCAGACAGGCTTGAACAGGCTTGCACAGGCTTGCACAATGAGAATGGAAAAAAGTGAAAGGACCGCAGCACATAGTCATATCAATAAAAGACATCATCTTGATAACATCATTTTGGATTTTCATGAGTTGGTTGGCTCAGAGTCAAACAACACAGCCATCGAATTTTAATCCTATTTAATAAAAAGATATTTGCATGAAATATGCCGAAGTCCACACACAAGCCCCTTGAGAATGACAGTACTAGCAAAGCGCTACACACATTGCCTTGTTGAACACTCCTTTTACCAGTCATTGTTCCACACTTTAACCACTGACAGCAGCTCTGTTCTATAAAAAAAAAACACGTTCAGAGAACTGAATTTGCAAAGGATCCATCTGACAAAAATTGTGGGAGTAATCAATTCCTTAACAGACATTAATACACCATTATCAAGACTTGACTTTCTGTTTCTCAGTATTTCAGGCTTTTAGTGATTTGGGGGATAGATTGGTGCTCAACAACTTCCAAAGATAATTTCTACTCTACAGCACCTCCAAAAATGCATCAGTTTCAGCAGTCATGATGATGGGATGTGACCTTTTCCAGCTGTCTCTGCACCTTTCAACGCAGATACGTACAATTTGCAGCCTGTCTCCCTAGAAAGCCAGCCTTTCCATCTTTCAAAAATGAAGACAGACTTCTTCCCTGACCAATGAAAACTGACAGTGAAATCAAGAGCAAGACAAATTATTTTATGAACAGAAAGCAAAGATAGGTTTTTCCCACCCACACTGTACACAGAGTTATGCCAGTTATGGCAAGGTGTACAAACAGCTCTGTCCCCACCCACACATTCATTACTAGCACTCTCATGTCTGGACAAAAATGTATGCTTTAAGCTTCCTAGTATCTCTTCTCCTACTGAAAAGTGGTAAACCCCAAAGTCAGAAACAAATTCAGGGAAGATGCCCATTTTCCTCCTGTTGAACTCTTTGGCATATCTTCTGAGAAGGCATTTTGTTCATAGGAACTATGAACTTTATTTGTCTTTATTTGCTTGAAAGACTGTGGTTTCTTAATCATTTAACCTTGGTAATTGGAAAAATGGATTAAAAAAACCCAGTTCATTCATTGTCTTTGAAAACATTTAATAATAATCTTAAACTACCTCAAGGGCATGTCTGTAATGTACTGCACAGTGCCTCACCGATGACCCCAAAAAGGTCAGGCAAGTCATCTGGGTATCTTGCAGAAACGGTAGGTTGAATCTAAATCCAAGTGCACCTCATTGCCAAGTATTCTCAGTAAGCATCAATGCAGCTACCACTGCCTTATGGTCTACTGAACAATGAAGTCATATCCTGAATGTTTAGGGAACTGATCTTTTTTATATTGTTTCTAACAATACTATCTCACCAAAGCATTATAAAATGCACTGAACAAACACGGTATAGTAGTGTTGCGCTTTATTCCTTTGGTTGTGTTTTTAAGGAGCTGCTGTGGAATGTACAATTAGAGTAACACATATATATACTTGGAATTGCAGCAGCTGTCACAGCAACTACACAGATGTAACAGCAAACCACAGTGTAAAACCAGTTTTTACTAACTGTATCACACAGCAACACTAAAAACAAGAGAAGTCCTCCTGGCATGCCATCAGCAGAGTTTCACCACTCCTCATGAACGTGAGGGAAAGGCACAGTAATAGGCTGCTCAAGAATAGCACCAAACTGCAATATTTTAGGATCCAACTCTGCAGCCCACAGTGCCATAAGTAGTCTCACTCACTTCAGAGACGCTCTTAAAGTACGGGTTTCGCCAGGTCACTGGCAGCACTCCTCTGCTGCCGCCGGTCAGGCCCTACCGGGGCAGACCTCCTGCCGGGATCTGCCCTGCCGGCCAGCCGCCGTACAAGCGCAACGGCGCACAGCCAGGCCGCACTCTGGAGGGAACGAAACAAATCCCTCGATGAGGTGACTACAGCAGCAAGAAAACCAGATGCAAACTGAAGAACAGTGTGCCAGGGTTCCAGTCCTGTGCTGCACGGAAACAAGACAGACTGCACCACGTGGCTGTGGCACCCCACAACACACCACCACCTCCAAGGGTCCTGCTGGTAGCAGCACAGGGTAAGACAGCAGCTCCTAGGCAGCAGGAGGCATACAGAATTGGCATTCAAAATGAAAGAACTTGAGAGCACAGACTTGAATATTGCCCAGTAATCATACGTCCTCAAGGGCGGTAAGGATTGTCTTCTGGATTTAAAAGAATTGCAGAATCGAATTCGTAAGTTTTGTTAACAACATTTTTTATCCTCTGTTCACTGCAAAGCCAAAAGAATTAAATATAACGAGTTAAGGTATTTACCTGTTATGAATAGGTCCTCTGAACTTTGGGTCAAATTTCCTTGGTTCACCTGCATTTAAAATAAAACAGTATAAAAATATGTCCTTATTTAAATTAAAATCTATAGAGAGGGGGGTGTTAACAGCAGTCTTTGAAGAACATCTTCCATATATTTCTATTTAATCAGTTCTGTTAAAATAATTTCATTCAGGCAATATCAGTAACGCACCAATACAATTACCTAGTTTTTGTAGATGACATCAAAAGCTTTTTTCTTCTAGCTTATAAACTTTGAGGGCCTCACGTTTATACCACCCAATAAATTACCTTTGACGTACATCCTATCACTACCCCTGCACACAGCGTTCACAGTAGAATGTTGCTGAAATCTGAGAGACAAGGCTTACGTCTCGCAGCCGCATGCTTAGTGTGTTTGGCAGCGAATGAGTGAACCTGCCTGACTGGAGCGACAGGCTAAGCCCTTCCGATTTTCCTCTAGAAGAACAGTTCGGAGTCATGTTCCGCATTTAATGTCATACTTACAGTCCCGCAGAGTTACTCTTACTTCCCACTGCTTTGGTTACAGGGCTATATAGACACAGAGTTGCAGGTTGGCCCCGTTTGCCCTGGGCTCATCAGGCGGCAAAGCGCTGGAGCCAGCAGAAACTCAGCGCCGCGCTCGCTCTGCGCTGCCCTGTGCAGGCCGTGCCACTGCGCCGGCTTCGCCCAAGGAGGGGGGCACGGGCCGCGAGGCAGCAGGACTGCACGTGTTTTGAGTACCTTCTCTAACTCTCAGGTTGCACGCACCGCGCGCCCCAGCGTAAGAAGCAGAGTGGGTTTCGAAACCGGCTATGCGTACGCCCCTGATCATGGTTGTTGCTGTACACAAATCTCGGAGCGACTAGAAGGTCAAGTCAAGCCCATCCTAGAAACCGGCAGTAGGACCTGGATGCAGCTTACAGATGGAAGGAGTCAAACACGTTTTTTTCACACAGCTATCCCGGTTAGCATAGTTCTGATGGATTCACTCTGCACGTAAGCAAACTAAATTAAGAAACTTCCAAATACTACCCCACCAGTCTGTGCTTCAAATGTGGACTTGAATAAGATGAATTACAGTACGATTTCACTTGGGGAAAAGTAAAAAAAATTTATGGCAGAATTTAAACTTTCAAGTTGCAAGCTACTATATGAAGAGAAAGAAGTAGTCCTTCATCGAACAGACCGGGATTTGGATTTCTCCTTTTGAAGCTAGCTATTCAGCTTCATGTGATTTTTTAAGAGTTCAGTAATTATGGAGATTTACTGAACCAAACTTTGTGCAATGAAATTTTAGTTCTTCATTCAAATGTCAATGCTACAATACAAATTACCGTTTCAGAGTGCTTTCTCGCTGCCTTCTTAAGGATCTCCTCTTCTGAATATACCTTGTATTAAAGGGTATTACCAGCCAAAACTTTCTCCCACCCGCAGAAAGAATACTTATTTTCTCCAATTAGAGGAGAATGCAGCAACTTCTCAAAAGCAGAATTTACTTATTAACTAAATGCCAGGCTTTGTTCTTGGGTTGTATCAGAAAAACCTTATCAAAATACACACAGACCAGTACAATAAACATAGCAGATAATAAAACTCTATTTGCCCTTCATCTGAGGTGTTCAGGTACACCCTACCAAGCTCCTAAAACAAATATATTTTAACACAGAAAAGATTGGGAAAGCTAAAACTTTGGAGTAGTGATGTGTAACAGCAGTGCTGGGGAGTGGAAGATGTAAGTTGTGCTATTACACAGGTATTACGGAAATCCACCATGGTCCAGAAAGCAAGTGTACGATACACAATACCTAATGCTGGGCCAAGACCTGTATTTTGAGGAAGCTTTTTGTATAGCACTTTCTATGAAATAAGTATTTCTACAAAACAATTTATCTCCACCATAATTCAGCATCTGTAACATTACTCCCTTTTGACAAGTTCTGGCCATAAGGCATACTGAAGTGAGCCTTTGTTCATTGCTCATACAGGACCCAGGTTTAGCATGGACAAACAGCCACACCAGGTCACAAGATCCATTGAACCCATACCCTGTACATAACAAGAGGCCATAGTGAATACCTGAGGAGAAAAGCAAAATGAAGGCAAACATAGTGCTACTTCCCTAAAACTGAGATTACAGAGACTTGCAACAGCACTTTTCTGAGCCAAAGGTACTGACTTTGTATTTAATAGTTGTGGGTGAATTTCTTTCTCATTCATTTCATAAATCTCCATTTAACTTCCATACACTTTAACAATCTGCAATGCTCTACATCATGGAGTACTATAGGTTAACAAAACATTGACGTACTACCTCCTTTTGTCTGTTTTAAGCTTGCCATCAGTCAGCTGTATGGCAGCATAGCATGCTACTAATAATTTTACAGGTTATTATATCTCTCTTTACTTGTCTATCTTCAAGAGTCCTAGCCTGTTCAATTGTTTCTCGTCCATAAGCCATTCCATACTTTTGATCACACTTATATTCTTTTTCTGTACCTTTTTCAGTGCTACTATGTATCACTGGAAAAGGAAGGGCCAGAACTGCCCAGGATATTCACCACAAGTATTGGCTGTGATTTATACAATCATATAATGACTTTTTCTATTTGATCGCAGTCCATTCGTAGTAATTCTTTCTTACAGTCCACTTGCTTTTGAGGGCAAAACCAGATTCTTTGACTGCATCATCCATTAAGACCCCAAGTTCTCACTCTTGAATGTAAGTAGTTAGCTCAATGCTGTTACTGGAGGAACCTGTTCTCTAAAGCTGTTCAGTATTCTCCTTATCAATTTGAACAATGAAGCTGAATGAACACTTTGCAACTGTGCAGCTGACGTGTTAAAATACTTCTGGAGACAGAATCAAAGGGATTTTGATAAACAATTTAACAATTCAAAGTGACTTGCATTAACTGACAAAAGTTATAAAGACAAACTCCATTCACAAATCCATACAGAATAACTGCTTTCAACAACACTGACAAGAAGAACCCTAAAAGGATTATGGCAGACTACAAACACAGAACGAGTCAGTAAAGCGACGTCTTTGCAAAAAAAACCCCACAACTCATTCAAGAAGTGCGAGCATGACTGGTGAAGTCACTGTTCCTTGTGCTTGGGACATGTAAGGCCTCAGCAGAAAAACTATTTCTAGATCATGGCACTAGAATTTCAGAAGATACAGACAAACTCATTAAAAAGAGGACACTAAGAGGTTTACAAAAAGCAGTGAATGAATGCAAACTTCAATGACCGTGATTAAGAAAAGGAGCACAAAACAACAGTCTTCAAATACCACCGACAGACAACAGTGATCAGTTGTTCTCAGCTTCCTCTTACCAGAGAGAGAAGCTAACTTCATTTAAAGCAAAGTTGGTTTAGATTAGGCATTAGGAAGCTTTTCAGAACACATGGGTAGTTACACACTGGAACAGGTTTTCCAAGCATACTTCTGAATTTTGTAGGTGAACTCCACCATACGGCTACAATGAAAACCAATATCCAGTGATTAACAAGCAAGAAAATAAAACCAGACAAAGCATTCCAGAAAACGAGCTCTGATTCAAATGGAGACTTTCGCCTCCCTCAGGCAAGCAGAGGGATGCTGCGAGATCGTACCAGCCATTAACAGCAGTAAAATTACTGCTGTACTGCAAACTCCTCCCAAGAACTGTTCCGTGCTGCCAGCAGTCAGTACGCCTACCATGGCTTGGCGGAGTGCAACGCTGCCCGAACTCTCTTCCTCCGTCACTTAGCTCTCGACATAAATCCATTACAGAATACGGCACTTTACATAGGGAAAGGTAACGATATTCTAAGTTTAAAACACGCTAAAATTCACTGACAGAAGTCGTCTGTGACATCACTGGAATATTCCTTACCAAAACACATGACACAGCAACTGTGATCATAGTTTTATGGAACAACAGAAAAAAGAAAAATGCTGATATCAAACTAGATATCAAATGCCCTACTTAATTACTACCATTCTTTAAAAACTGAGACAATTCTTTGGGGGTGAGGTGGGAATTATCTACGTTATTAGTATTTACGTAGCTCCTGGTAAAAGCAAACTAATTCTGTAGCTATAGAAGTCCAAGTGTATTTAGAAAGCAAATTCCAAGCTTTAGGAGTACAGTAGGCATAAGGAAGAAAGCAGTGGTGTGGGATAGCAACTGTCGTTTTTTTGCTAGGATTAAAACCGGAGATGATATTCACTCTTTTCAGATGAGACAGATCTGTTTCACAGTCTGCTTTGTAACAGGAGACTTTTGTATGCTGAATTACAACATCTTTACAAGAAATATTTCACAAGATATTTCATTTACCAATTCTGACTCCAAACAGCACATGAATTGTTGCACTTTATTACTGTAATAATTGAAAAAAACCCTAAATCTAAATTACTTATCTAAAATAAAAATTGACTATACATACATATATATATCTAAAAATATATATAAAGTTTACCTCTGATTTGCAATTTAAATAACCTTGTGAAAGTCATGCTGGAAAAAAAAATAGGATATTGCTAATAATTGAAGAAGTTATGGAAAACCATTTGGGGCTGGATCCAAGCCCATTAAAGTCAACTGAAATAACCCAGTTGAAATAAATGAGGTTTAGATCAAGTGCTTATGGATTGTCATAAGAAAGCAGGTAAATTACCGTGTTTTCCGTAGTAGTTTTCTTCATCTCTGTCCATATTACTGTACCTGGATCACTTCAGCAAGCTGTGTGAGACACTAACTGTGGACTCCGTGTTGCTAGGCAAACTTTCCCAGCAAGCACAGATACACAAAAAAACCTATTTAAATAGATTTTAAAAAAATAAAGCTGAGTGTCGTGGACTTCTCCAATCAGAATGGAAACTCCCAAAGTAGGCAGGCCTTTCTGGGAGTAGAAAGACACCACTCGGTGCCTTGCCCAGCTCCTCCAGCCCAGTCTGATAGTAGGAATGAGGCGGAATGACTCTTATCAGCTTGCACCAACCTAAAATGTATGAGCAGAAAGGGCAATGTCTGCACCTCAATACCATTTGTAAAATGATCTTAAGGAAGGCAATACAACCAAAAAAATGAATAATGATTTGCTAACTGAGAATAAGGTATCCCACTGTCGGCAATTACTGTGCTTTTGTAGCCTGTGCTACTGTGGGAGAAAATAGTCTTTAGATGTCACAGATGGCCAAATCTTTCTTCCTCCATACACGTGACTAGCTCCCCACAAAGTACAAGTCACGCAGTTAGGAAAAACAGGATTTACTCTGACACCTTTAAGTCTAAAATGTAAACTCTCTGCTGTGTACCGAATTTTCATTCTTGTCAAGTGGAACATTTATCTGTAGAAGCGGTCACAATTTACTAACTTATTTTCTTAATAAAATGCACATTTCGTATTTCTGCATGGCACAAAAGTGCGGAACAGAAGAGTTAGTGCTAGAAAGTCTTAGCGTTTTTAGTTTGGTACTCTAATGCTTATACAGTGAAAGGAAGCACAAGGCATCGTAGGTAGTGTGTGAATCCAGAAGCCTGAAGCCATTTTAAAAAAGATAAAATAAGCTAGCAACCTCTCCTTTTAGCCACAAAGGCACAGAATCCCTGTGTGGTGATCCTGACCAGTATGAAATTTTCATTCTCTGTGGAGTATGATTAAAACACCAATTGCAGGATTCTGTAATGAGAAACACATACACTTGTATATGAATTCCTACAATAATTTGACAGACAGGGCTGGACTACATGCAGGACCAACAAAAACAATGTTTTTAAGTCAACCCTGTCACTGTGTAGTGACATTGTCACGAGGACAAAGAAGATTGATCTCATATTATAGTTCGCAAACGATGCCTGTGATATGAAGTCACAGACCAGCAATGTTCTAATGTTTACTGAATGAGACATTTAGTATCACCAGTCTCAGTAAACGAAGGTAAAAATAGTATGATGAGGATGTAGATTGATCTTTTGTAAAATATTAACCATTGGCTGAATTCTCCTACTTGACTACCGCCCAAGACTTCCTGCTATCCTTAGGCAAATACAAAAAAAGAAAAGCAGAGGAGCCAAGTGACTATGATTCTACTGTGCTCCTACTCAAGTTTGCGCCTCTGTCAAAGGCTGCTTCAGTAAATCTCGTTATAGTACAGTAACAGAAGGCCCTGGGCAGACGGTGCTAAGCACAGATGTATACTAACTAACTCGGCATTTGGCCAGCACTGTGTTATCCAACTCTAATAAAATGCTATTTCTACTTTAATAACTATTAGTTTCTTCAGGTTTCTTCCTTGGTGTTAGGTCAACAATTACATGTGCCTGTGGCTAGAATAGGTGTGGCTTTTTAAGAGAATAGTATTTTTATTAGACAGACGCTGGAGTGGTATGTGTACGTGCTGCTTCCCTCTACTGGAGTAAATAGGTACATTCAAGTAATTGAAAGTATTCCTTTAACATGCCTTAGAAATAGTAATGCCTCCTTTAGGGCAAGTGTACACAAACTGCTAATTCAATGCTTAAAGATAGAAGTGCACAAGCCAACAAATTATGCTGCTAACAAATGCTCGGGATGTATTAGGACTGAATGAGATTCATCCCAGCTGATGTCTCTCTAAAGAATCATATGAAGATTTTGATGCTTCTGCCCTTCTATTCTGCATAGGAGTAGAAGAAAGCAAAGTCACGCAAGTTCTTGCACAATGCATCTATCCTTTTCAGAAGCAGAAAATTCTTGACATATATGAAAGCCTAACCTTTGCAAGGTTTACAGTCTAATTTTGCAACAAATACAAATAAATGCTTGAGACGTACTACTGTTTAGTAGCAGTCAAATTAATTTTACTTAAAAATTTTTTTAGGCAATCTTAAACTACATTGTAAGTCACATCTAATGTTCCTTATACAGAAACAGCATAATGATCCTAGTAATAGAAAATAAAAATTATTACTGTAGGACACAAATGTGTAGAAGCATTCTATTCAGTCAAAAGGTTGACAGTAGTATTAAAACAGCTCTTCCAGTAAGTTCTGTACCTGGTTTACAGGCATACAGGGTTTTTTCCCTCTTTGAAAGATTGAGGTATAACTTGTTTGCTATGAGATCATACACTCGTACACACATAAATTTCATTTATAATAAAAGCACACTTATGATTCCTCTCTTATAAATCATAATAAATGGTAGCCGCCTTCAAAATATCTTTTATTGTGACAGTATGAGTCCTTCTGTCTGTTGCTCCTTCAGCCAGAAAAGCTAATGAGGGGATGAATACAACTCATTCTGAATGCCATTTTTAAATCCCAAAGAAGATAAAACTTTTCTGACTTTGGGTTGTGGGTGTTTTTATTTATTTCCTATTAGCCATTCATGCAGACTGATTTTTTTTTTTCCCCAGAAGAACAATTAAATGTGTTCATCTTTTAAGAGATGAGAATTCAGCGTAGAAGTCTCAGTGAATGGATGCCACTCATTGAGATGTGAGTTAGCAATATCACTGCATTAAATAATTGTATGAAAGTTTTAATGTCTTGATCCCATATTAAATCACAGGCTAGATTATGTATGTTGTATTTGTTGGAAACCTTGCATGGCAGGAGAGACCCCCTTGGGCTGTTTCTTCATGTGCCTACACATGCATTTGAGCTCTGGTACCTTGAGCATTAAAAACTAATGAAGGAAATATCCAAAACCTAAGTAAAATATTTGGCTTTGCATTTGAAATATTAATTGAGGTTGAACAAAATGGTATCAGTAGAAGCTATTGGGGACAATAAAATAACTTAAGAAATGGCAACAGTAGGTGATTAAAGTCAGGGCTAAAGAGGGACTCCTTCTGTCACTTAGGCCACCTAACAACAGTGAAACAGAAGTCTATCAAAACAGGATAGCGGCATCCAGCACACTGAGGCGGGGCATGATTAACTTGCCAGTAGAAAAAAATTTAAAATTAAATGCATTTTCAGCTCGGTTCTCTACAGGACCTTGGGTACCTAATTCTGGGCAAAATTCACAGCCCTGCATCCTTCCCTGGAGTTTCTAGCAAAAAAACAAGCAAGGCATTGTGTCCTTAAGAACACAGATGCCAGAAGAGATGATGGTGCCTGGCTCCCACTAAACAAATAGACTGCTCCAACCCAGGATGCAAGGGCTCTAAGTTCAGACGCACACTGCAGAGCCGCAGGCTGGGCGACACTCCCTTGTGCGCGAACAGAAACGTGCTCCATGCGGCTCTAAGAGTTACTGTCTGACAGAACACAACTACGTATACGTCCGGGTAGCTCATAGTGGATCAACCAAGAATCCTGTCCCTACACCAACATTTACTACGTAACACACAGCCAGACAAGTAAGTTCCTTCTTTCCAACAAGAAAAAATAATTTTTCCTTCCTTTAAATGTTCTAACAAAAAATTTCTTATTATGCTATTACACAGAAGTTAGTTTTTTTCTGCCAGATGCCAAAAGTACTCTTATCATTCATCTTATTAGAAATGCCCAGAATGTGAAGCTTCAAAAGGATCTAACTGGTGGCTTGGACTGCACTGCTAATAGTAATGCAAGAGGAAAGTTACTAACATCAATTAAAAAAACATTTGCTCTATCATATGACGATCATCCAGATTTCGAAGCAAAATGTTTTGGAGCAGGTTTCTGGTCAACTCACAAAACAGGAACTGCAGTAACAAACAGCAACCAGAACAGGCAAATTTTTAGTAATGAATAGTGCAGTAAATTCTTCAGTAAGCTACAGACCCAAGGGAACAACTCTTCATGGTGCTGTACACTTGTTACTGCATTAGACTAGTGTGAATTCATTCCTTCTCTGGAATTTCAGAAAGATTAACACATGGGGAAAAAAAAGTTGTGATTCAACAGCAGAACAAATGACACTAGTTGAAATGCTCTGTCTTCTCCATTCTCTAACCACTCCCACACAGTTCTTCCCACTCATTTCCATGTTGTACTGGGCTTGTGTGGCAAGGTTCTGGTA